CCCCTCCCTTCCCCACACCGCAACCCCCAGGCCGCGGCCGTCCCCCCCGCCCCCCGCACTCACCCTCCTGGAATTTGGGCTTGGGGTCCTGCTTGGGCGCCATTTATAAGTGACTCTCCCTCCTCCCGCCCCCTCCCCGCGGGGGCCTCACCACCTCCGCCGCATCATGCGCGGCCGGCCCCAGCGCCCTCCGCGCCGCGCAGGCGCGTTGCGTCCCGCCGCATCCCCCGTGGCATGCTGGGACTTGTGGTCTGCGGCGGAGCACCCCGCATCCAGGCCTCTCCCCGCCCCCCCAGTCCCGAGGAGATAAAGTATCGGTTTGGTTGTCGGTTGTTGGCTTAAGGTCCGTGAGGGGCGCGAGTGTGTGTGGGGGAGATACAAAGAAAAAAGGGAGGGGTAAAAGGTAAGCGCCCAACGTGGGGCTCGAACCCACGACCCTGGGATTAAGAGTCCCATGCTCTACCGACTGAGCTAGCCGGGCGCCACGCGCAAACCTCTCACTCTGCCGTACTCGGCAGCGCCCCCCCTGCGCCTGCGCCGTGCCCGTTCCCCGGCCGCCAAGCGTCGCCCGCGCTGCCCCCAGCTCATTTGCATATTTAACATTATCACTTCAATTATAAAATACCCCCCTCCCCCACCGAGGCCGGCAAAAGCGGAGTCGCCGCAGCCGTAACGGCCTGGGAAAGCTGCGGGCTTATCAGTGTCCTCTGCAGCACGAGCAGTCGTCCACCCCCCGCCCCGCCCGCCGTGTGCTGCCTGCAGGGATGAGAAAATACATTTATTTTGCGCGTTTAGCGTCATTCTGCTCCCTCTGCCCGGGCGCGGGCCGGGGAGGTCCCGGACGGTGTCACCCGGCGCCCCCCCTCGGGCTGGGAGCCCACCTCCCTGGCTCTGTCAGTCCTCGCCCACCGGTCACCTTTCAGGACGGGCTCACCGGACACGGAACACTCGGTTTGCTGTTTTTTCAACATTTTTGCCTCCTGGCTTAACGCGGGCAGCGGGTAACGGCATCAAATTATCCAAGTTTCGTATTTCCCGCTCATTTTATCCCGAAAAGAACATAAAAGACGATGCCACAAGGGAACGCCGCAGCCTTGCGGCTCTGCCTGGGAGACGCCAGCCTAAGGAAAGCGCCGTTTGGGTTTTGGGGTTTTTTCCCCCCCCTGAAATTCGCGCGGCCCCCCCCTCCCCCGCCGCCACGAGGGTCCCGGAGGA